CTGTGCCCCACAAGGTAGGCACCCTGCGGCGCGGGCACCTGGGGTGCCAAGACGCGTGGCCGAGCCTCACCCTCCCCAGCGAATTTGAACGGTTCCTCGACAAGGACGACTCCATTACCAGCAGGATCTTGCTCGAGGGGCTCTGGTTTCCTGGGCCTTCCGCTGGTTGGAGGCTTCCAGCTGACGACCTTTTCACGTATGTGCAATGGATACAAGGCCACGACGAGGGCGCGCCGTTTGCCGTGCCCGACCTATACGCCGATGGTGCTATTCATCGATGGCGGCACGCCGTTTGCGCGCGCAGCTTGCGCAGTGGCGGCGCCCCCGCCAGGTGACGAGGCGATCGACCCTGGGCCGCGCTCGGCCACCCCAGCCCCCGCCTTCAAACTGGCGGGCATCTTGCAGTCCATCTATGGCGGGGAGCTGCTGGCGCTCCTCATTCTACCCAAGAGCGCCATTCCACCAGTGGTCGCTCACTGTGATGCCGGCTTCGCGGTCAAGGGAATCAACGCTCGCGGCCTTGCAGCGACCGCCGGCAGCAAGTCAGCGTGGGCCGAGCTGTGGACTCGCGACTTGCACGCGGCGCAAGACTTCGGGGCCCCGACGACCAGCCTCACGGAGGTCACGGTCAAGGCCCACGTAGCTGATCACCACGCACAAGAAGGGCTTGCGACGGCGAGGGCGAGGCACGGCAACATCGAAGCAGATCGTCGCGCCAAGTTCATGGCCACGCACTTCGGAGCCGATGGCGGCATCCGCAGGACCTTCCAGGCGCGCCAAACCATGCTTGACGCCGCCTTCTCCGGGGCAGCCGCAGCAGGCTTCATGGCAGCTGCTGGAAGAGCAGATATACCAGACGAGACAATGCCGCTGCTCGACACCAAGATCTCGCTGCCCCAGACCAGCCACGATATCATCAAGGTGCCCAATGGGTGCATCCACTGTTTGCCGCGCTTCAAGACGGCGCACAGCAGCAACATGAAGGCGCACTGCTGGGCCACGCCTCGTGTGACAAGACCCTGCGCCCCGTCGTTCTCTGGAGGGCCTTCGCTCAAGGGACGGGCCCGAGCAGCCTTGGCGGCGGCGGCCGCGACGGCGGCGGCGTTTGCAGCCTTCGCGAGCTCGGTGGACCAGCGCCCCAAGCCCGACGACGAGGGGATCGACGAGGAGCCGCAGGCCAAGGACGCGAGGACGGCCCAGTAGAAGGTCGATTCTCTTTTCGCGGCCGCGACTGGAGCGAGTTCGAGCGGCTCTGTGAGCACGGCTTGCGGCAAAGATATGTTGGGCGAAAGCCCCGCTTGGGCCCCTCTGTTGGGGCTCCTGAAGGCCACGCTGCGAAATCCTCAGGTAGCGCTCCCTGTCTTGCTCGCTTTCAGGCTGTTTGCTTTGAGGCCTCCCTTGCCTCGCAGGACCAGCCTGATCCCACGCGTGGGCCTCCTGTGGGCTCCGCTGCGAAAGCCCCAGGTAGCGCTCCACCGCTGCTCGTGTCCAGGGTGGCTGTTCGGAGGCCCCTTTTCACTTCGCAGCGTCAGCCGGATGTCATGAGCGACGTTTGGCAGCACAGTACCCGCAGCGACTTGTATTGTCCAAATGCACGTCACGTCCCTGGCAGTCAGGTCGAGTCGCAGGGTGTTTTTTACTGCTTCTGCTCGCCGCTCGAGCTCGCCCAGTCAGTCTTGGCCGTTGGCCCTCGAGAGCCCCTCTGGCCCCGCTGCGTTTGCGTCGTCCACTGGCGATGGCATGGGAACGCCAGGGGTGGACAGCGGCGAGCACCAGCCAGCCACCACCAACGGGCATTGCAGGTGTTCCAAGTGTCATTGCTATGTCCGCGTGATCGGAGGCAAGCACCGTGGCCTGTTTTCTGCGTGCAAGCTCCCCGACAGCGCTCGAGGTTTGCAGTTTCGCCTCGAGAAGGTCGAGCGCATCCGTGCTGGCCTGCCGACAAAGCCGCCTCAAGCCAAGGCGACGTCAGGACGCTGAGCTAGGGTTTGGCCGGCGGCGGCGGGCTGGCCCTCTGGTTTTCTCGTTCCTTCGCCACACGGCGCCCCTTTCACGCTTTCGCCTGCCGCCAGCGCTTCTGCGACCGCCAGCAGCGCGGCTGCTAGAACCCGAGCTCGCGCCGCGCGAGCCTGGCCCAAAGCCCCCCCCAAAAAAAATCAAGCGACAAGGTCCGCGTGGCGGACACGGGGCAGTTCGGCACACCCCTCACGAGGATCATGGCCGTATAGGGAGGTCCACCGAAGGCCCCAGTGGCAGGGTCCGCATGGCGGGCGTTGGTCAGTTCAGCACACCCCTCACGAGCATCGTGGCCTCATAGGGAGCTCCACCGAAAGCCTCAGTGGCAGGGTCCGCGTGGCGGATTTGGGTCAGTTCGGTACACCTTTCACGGGGATCGTGGCCCCATAGGAAGCTCCACCGAAGACCCGAGCGGCAGGGTCCGCATGGCGGATTCGGGCCAGTTCGGCACCACATGGGGGTTCCACCCAAGGGCCCAGCTGAGGCCCCGGTGACAGGGTCCGCATGGCGGATTCGGGCCAATTCGGCACACCTTTCACGAGGATCGTGGCCCCATGATCACGGTCCCATAAGGATTTCCACAAAACGCCCCAGTGGCAGGTCCGCATGGCGGATTCTGCAGGGTCCGCATGGCGGATTCGGGTCAGTTCGGCACACCTTTCACGAGGGTCGTGGCCCCATGATGATGGCCCCATTGGGACCTCCACCGAAGGCCCCCGTGGCAGGGTCCGCATGGCGGACTCGGGCCAATTCGGCACACCCCTCACGAGGATCGTGGCCCCATAGGGAGGTCCCCCGAAGGCCCCAGTGGCAGGGTCCGCATGGCGGACCCGGGCCAGTTCGGCACACCCATCTCGAGGATCGTGGCGCAATAGGGATCTCCATTGGACGCCCCAGCGGCAGGGCCCGCATGGCGGATTCTATTCAGCGTGGTGAATCAATTGACGGCAACGCAACGAATCCTGGGCATACCCATGTAGCCCACGAGGCGGCAACGACGTAACTCGCGGCAACGACGCGCAACGTGTCGATTTTCCGGCGTCCCCCCACAGTCGGTAACAGACGGCAATGAGCGGCAACACAGCGAATCCCCCACAGCACACGAGCAGGCAACGAGGGGGCAACGGGCGGCAACGTGGCGAATGTTCGGCATACCCTTGCAGGCGGCAGAGGGCGACAACGTTGCGAATTTTCAGCAGACTCAATCAGCGCACGAGGCGGCAACGACGCGGTGCCGAGGCCGCAACGGGCGGCAACGTGGCGAATCCTCAGCATACCCCCACAGGCGGCAACGGGCGGCAACGTGGCGAATCTTCAGCATGCCCACGCTGCGCACGAGGCGACAGGCAGCAGCATGGCGAATCCGCGGCATACCCCTGCAGACGGCAACCAGTCGCAACGGGGCGAATCCTCAGCATACCCATTCAATGCCTTTGCAACCCGAATCAGTGGCAAGAGTGCAAGCATTGCTTTGGGAGCGAAGTAAGAATCACGCAGCGCACGAGCCGGCAACGAGCCGGCAACGGGCGGCAACGCGGTGAATCTTCGGGCATGCCCACAGCGCACGAGGCGGCAACGGCAAGGCATCGGAGCGGCAACGTGGCGGCAGCGGGGCGAGTCTTCGGCATATATCCGGGCAGCGCATGAGGCGGCGGCGGCGCGGCAACGGGCGGCAGCATGGAAGTTCCGGGCATACCCTTGCAGGCGGCAAGGCGTCAATGTTCGGGGGCCCCCAAACGGTGTGGTGACCACACCGTGCGGTGAATCGGTGGGGATTCGGGGTCACCGCACGGTTTTGGGACTCGAGTCCTTCTCCGAGGATGTCTCGGGCGACGGGGGCCTTCAGGGTCCCAAGACCGTGCGGTGACGGACCGTGCGGTGCGGTCTGGGGGGATTTCGAGGTCACCGCGCGGTCCGTCACCGCACCGCTTCGGGATTCCAAAATGGGGAGAGCATTTCGCATACTCCAGATTTCGTGATAAAAGGAGGGGGGTCTCATTTCGGGGGGGGGGTCTCTTCCAGGCTATCTTGGAGGGCCTGGGGGGTCTGGGGACGATGTTTTGGAGGGTTCTCCCACGAGGGAGGTCTGGAATGGCTTGTCTTGGAGGGTCCAGACCCCCTCCCTTTTATTACGAAATCTGGAGTACATCGCCTTCGTCGTATTGAAGGGCCTCCATGGGCAACACACAAGTTGGCGCTAAGACACGTACCGAGGATCATCGAAAGGGGGCCAGCGGATTGTTCGCCAGAAGGATGCACGGCGGTTCCTTTTCAGAACAGGGCTTTCGCGTGAGTGGCAGACCCGCAGGGGGTTGGTCTTTCACAGGGCGCGGCTCCTTGCAGGGAGAAGAAAGGTTTCCAAGGATTCATGACGAGGGGACTTGGGACGAGAGTGTGTATGGCAGCGTCGTTGATGCATTCTGGCTTAACGCTGGTCCCCCCCCCTCCTCCCACCTCCTCATCCTACCCCCTCCTCCTGCTCCTCTCCCTGCCGCGTCGTCGTCGGGGGAGGAGGAGCAGGAGGAGGATGAGGAGGAGGAGGAGGAGGAGAACGACGACGAGAATGAGGAGGGTGGGGGGGAGGGGGAATGTCGAGGGAACGGGGAGGAGGTGGTACAGTCGGGGAGCCGGCGCCCTGCGCCTCCCTCGCCTGCACCGCAGTTGAGATTCCGCCTCTTGCTCCTGATCCTCCCGTGTTCCTGCTCCTCGTCCCCCCTGCTCTTGTCTTCTCCTCCCGCAGCCTCCAGAGCACCATGCCTTCGGGGCCCTGAAGAAGGAACCCTTTTGGTTGGGGAGGGGCGCCGCGTTCCTACAGTGTTTCGCAGCTTGCCTCAGGTGTTCCTCATGTTTTCGATCGGATATCGAAGCTTAACTTATGGACAAAAGGGGCCTCGTTCCTTGTTTGGGGTTCCTTGGGTCAAGGCCCCGACTGTGCTCGCTCTCCCTTCTCTTCATCACCTCTCCCCTCTCCCCTCCCCGCCGAGGTGACGACCAGTGTAACGAGGCGGTGGAAGGCGAGAACTGATCGTGCAGCTGGCGATACGAAAAAGGGCGCCTCGTGAGGAGGGCCGGCGTGCTGGGATAATCCGGGCAGGGGGGAGGATAAAGCAGGGCTAGGATCAGGATAAATCGCTCCAGAGCGTTCCGGAGCGCTCTCAGAGCGTTCCGGAACGCTCTGGAGCGGCCGCGGCACCCAATACATCCTCCAAACCCGCCGATTCTCAGAGATTTCGAGTTATCCCGATCCGATTTTGTCCCGATCTTCGCGTCGTTTTAGAGGATAGGGAGCCCCCAAAACAGGTGGTGAGATATCAGGTGGCGACCCGGGGTCCCCAGAAAGTTGCCGCCAGGTTTTGGAACACGGGGTCACCGCCGGGTTTTGCCACTCCTGGACCCACCAGCGTTCGGGACATCCTCGAGAAACTGCAAGGGTCCCCAAACCGAGTGGTGACACCAAATCGCCCCAGACTCACCGCTGGTTGTTGTCACCACCACGTTTGGGGACTACGAAGAGGAGGGATCGTTTTCTCATCGGAGGGTTTCGCCTCAAGACGGGCAGACCCTCGTCGTGGGATGAGGCGTTCTGAGCAGCGTTTCGGGGTTTCCGTTGGCCTTCGTGGGATGTTCCGTCGAACATCGATGTTGATGCCATGTCATACCCGTATCCGGGAGAGAATGTGTGTGTGTCTATGTGTACGTATGTGTGTGTTTGTGTATGTACGCCTGTGTGTTTTTGTGTGTGAGAGAATGCGCTTGTGTGTGTGTGCCTGAATGTGTGCTTGTGCGAGTGCGAGTGTGCGTGCGTGCGTGCGTGTGTGTGTTGTGTGTTGTGTGTTGTGTGTTGTGTGTTGTGTGTTGTTTTTTTTTTTTGTGTGTGTGTGTGCGTGCGTGCGTGCGTGCGTGCGTGTGTGTGTGTGTGGGTGTGCGGGTGTGTGAGTGTGTGTGTGTGTGCGTGCGTGCGTGCGTGTGTGTGTAGGTGTGTGTAGGTGTCTGTAGGTGTGTGTGTGTGTGCAGGTGTTTGTGTGTGGGTGCGTGTGTGTGTGTGTATGGGTGTGCATATGCGTGCGCGTTTGCGTGCGCGTGCGCGTGCGCTTGCGCGTGTGCGTGCGCTTGCGCGTGCGCGTGCGTGCGCGTGCGTGTGCTTGTGCGTGTGCGTGTGCCTATTCGTGTGCGTGTGCGTGTGCGTGTGTGCATGTGCGAATGCGTGAGCGTGTGCGTGTGTGTCTGTGCGGGTGCGGGTGCGGGTGCGTGTGCGTGTGTTCGTGTGATTGTGCGTGTGCGTGTGCCCATTCGTGTGCCTGTGCCTGTGCGTGTGCGTGTGCGCATGTGCGAATGCGTGTGCATGTGCGTGTAGGTGTGCGCGTGCTTGTGCGGGTGCGGGTGCGGGTGCGGGTGCGGGTGCGGGTGCGTGTGCGTGTGCGTGTGCGTGTGCGTGTGCGTGTGCGTGTGCGTGCGTTTGCGTGCGCGTGCGCGTGCGCGTGCGCGTGTGCGTGTGTGAGAGTGCGTGTGCGTGTGCGTGTGCGTGTGCGTGTGCGTGTGCGTGTGCGCTTGTGTGCGTGCGTGCGTGCGTGCGTGCGTGCGTGCGTGCGTGCGTGCTTGTGTGTGTGTGTCTGTGTGTGTGTGTTTGTGTGTCTGTGTTTGTGTCTGTGTGTATGTCTATGTCTATGGCTGTGTCTGTGCCTGTGTGTGCGTCTGTGTGGTGTGCGTCTGCGACTGCGTGTGTACCTGTATGTGCATGTCCGTGTGCGCGTGTGTTCGCGTGTGTGCTCGTGTGTGTGCGTGGTTGTGTGTGTGTGCCTGTGTCTGTGTCTGTGCCTGTGCCTGTGCCTGTGTCTGTGTGTGTGCCTGTGTCTGTGTCTGTGTCTTGTCAGTGTCTTGTCTGTGCCTGTACCTGTGCCTGTGTCTGTGGCTATGTCTGTGCCTGTGTCTGTGTCTGCGTCTGTGTCTGTGTCTGTGTCTGTGCTTGTGCCGTTGTCTGTGTCCGTGTCTGTGCCTGTGCCTGTGCCTGTGCTTGTGTCTGTGCCTGTGTCTGTGCCTGTGCCTGTGTCTCTATGTCTCTGTCTCTGTCTCCGCCTGCCTCTGTCTCTGTCTCTGGCTCTGTGTGTGATTTTGCCGCAGAGTGGGGTTGCATTTGCAATACGCAAAATGGAATTCCATATTACAAACGCACCGAAGGAATATGGTTGTACCGACCTACAGCAGGATCCGATTGGCAATCCACAAATTAGGATTCGATGTGTATTCCTCCCACAAGTAATCCTGCTGCAATGCTGCACAAAAGGATTTGCTTGTGGCCCCACAGTTTGAATGAGCCTGTAAATGGAAGCCGATTGCGAAAACCCGAAGGATTCTGTTTGCAATCCACACAATTACATTCCCCCCAGAGAAAATCTTTTTCTGTGAAAAGGGGACCGGAAAACAAGTTCGAGTTTCACCGGGAATGCAAGTTTTGGTCGAGCGAACACGAAACCCTAAGTCAGTCGTTTCCAAGGAGGCTCCAATGTGATGCCCGCTTCATCTTAAAGGAGGACATTTTTATGGGTGGGGGCTGATAGCTTGATTCCGATTGTGCGGATTACAAAAGAAATGGTCGTGAGGCTTTACGTTAGGTTTTTGTTGGTAGTTTCCTGCGAATAAGTTACACATGCACGGATTACCAATAGAACCTTTTTGCGCGGCTTCGCTCTCGGGTTCCTTGTGTGCGGGGGTTACATGTTGATTCTTAGTGTGATGATTACAAGGAGATGCTTTGTGCACAGCTGTACAATCGGATTCTTTTTGCGGGGGGGCGCATCTGTTCCCAATTATTGATTGCACACAGAACCCTTGATGTGCGGTTTTAGACTGGGGGTTCTATTTTGTGTTGGGTTGCATGTTGCTCCCAAGTGTGTGGCTTACACATGGGATTACATATATAATCGTTGCGAGTGTTTTTACAATATGAGTTTTTTGGTGCGGGGTTGACATAGTGGTTCCACGTACGAATTAAAGCGGCTATGTATTATATTAGCGCACGTTTGAAATGTTTCTTAGAACAAGACGCCACGCAACACACCGCCAAACTACAAAGCAAATCAGAAAGAGCCGTAAACGGCCCAAGAGTGCGTCAAGACTGGCGACGAGCGCCGACGTGTAGCCGGCGCAAGAAGGCCCTCAGGTGCGCCAAGAAGGCCAAGCCCGTCCCCAGTGTTTCTCGAGAGGCCCACAACCGGCCTCACATCGTCGTCACCCAAGCATGCAGCATGCGTACACTGTGTGTGCGTCGGTTTCCCAGTGGCGACGCGCGCGGTCGGAAATCCTGCAGCGAATGCTCGGAGGCGATCACCTTCTTGCCATACCGCCTGGGCCACGATGTGCTAGATTATCGGGGGTGGACAGACCTCCTACCCTGACACGTTGATTAAGGAATTGGCCGTTTTCGGTTCGCGAGAGGGCGTCACGGCCGTCATGTTAGCGGGTCCAGGTCCGTCGGTTTCTGTCCCAGGCTGTTTTCATTAAGGGGAGGTCTACTAAAGGGAGGTTTGTCCACCGCCGAGAGTACGACTGCACCGCGTGTTCGGCTCGGGACGTGCGCCTCCGAGGGAAGGCCACAGCACCAGCAATCGAGCGGGAGATCGGCTACAGAAATCATGCACCCTGGAGTGGATGCACCAAGAAAACATGCGCAGAGTGTTCGCAGACATACTACTGTGCACTCGATGTACCTCTTGCAACTTCGACGAGACGATGAGGAGGAGGAGGAGGAGGAGGAGGAGGGAGGAGGAGGAGGAGGGAGGAAGAGGAGGAGGGAGGAGGAGGAGGAGGAGGAGGAGGAGGGCAATGGACTTGTGCGCAATCCGCCGCCGAGAGTACCACTGCACCGCGTGTTCGGCTCGGGACTGCAACGCGGGGCGCCGGCGCGCCGCCACGGCGCGAGCCCGCCGCGCGCCGCCAGCCGCCGGCGCACGCAGAGGGCCGGGGCCTGTCCCAACTAGTCAGCCCCGAATCATCAGGGGTAACTCGGGTGAGGGCTAACTCGGGTTGGTTTTTCGGGATTCCGAACCCGACTTACCCCGGACCCGAGTTACCCCGGATAGTTCGGGCGTCCAGAGCCCCGAATCATCAGGGGGAACTCGGCTCAGGGCTAACTCGGGTTGGTTTTTCGGGATTCCGAACCCGACTTACCCCGGATAGTTCGGGCGCCCAACCTAGAGGGGGATTTTCGACGGAAAAAGTAAAGCACCCCAGGAATGCCCCAGAAAGGCAACAAAAATAGTCAAAAAATAGTCCCCGGCCCATGTTTGGACCATTTTTGGGGGTCTTTTTCATTTCTGGTCGGAAATCCCCCTAGATGAGGGGGGATTTCGACGGAAAAATTCAAGCACCCCAGGAATGCCCCAGAGAGGCAAAAAAAATAGTCAAAAAATAGTCCCCGGCCCATTGTTGGACCATTTTGTGGGTATTTTTTATTTTTCGTCGAAGATCCCCCTGTAGAGGGACAGGCCCGACTTAACAGGAGGGGAAACACAAAATACACAGACGCCATTCATCGCCGATCCCTCATTGCAGAAAGTATGGGAAACTGTGGGAAGTGGGGGGGGGAGACAAAAATGCCTACAAGATATGGGAAAATATGGAGGATCCTGTTATCTGTGTCTACTCGTTTGTGTGTCCCAGGGCCCCTTCAATACCCACCGGTCGTTGAGAGCAGGCATTGTGGGGCTCCCAGAGCCCAATCTACTCCATCCGCCTTCCTGCTTCATATGTTTACCTACTTCTTCCGACCGATGGGTAAACGTTTGGCGCTCCACGCGGAGTTCTCGGATCCGCGCTGGGCCCCCCTTGGCGGCGCCTCCGGCGCCGCGCCTGGCGCGCTCCGCGCGTCAGAGAGGGGGTCTGGCGCGGATCGCCAAAAGTTTATGTTTGTGGCGTTGTTTCCCTCATGTAGCTGTCCTGCGCGATCGGAGAGCCGCGGTCGTTGCAGGTGGATCGATCGACGCCGTGTCAGAAGCCACTGCAGACGTCCTCACGACACGACCCTGCCGCACGAGTGTGCCAAGGTTCGGTCACCCTGTTGATCGAGCGTATTGATCGGTGGAGGACCGAACGTTCAGATTGAGAGGAGGGCCATACGCAGGACCACACAGAGGACGATAAGGGTGAAGACAACACGGAGGAGCATGGGGAGTTGGGTTGCAGACGTTCGCAGCAGAGGGAATGTGTTCCCCGTGGTCCCATCCCGGCGTCGCGTCTCGCGCATCCTCCGCAGTTGCGTCAGGTTCGCGCTGCGATGACGTGGCGGTGACTTCAGCGCGGGCGTTCAAGTTTGAACGCTGCCAGTGGTCCAGACTCGGCCAGTACCCGACGATCTTCGCTGTCGGAAAGCCACAGTCGTTCACGCTTGTTCTGCGTGGTGTCTGAAACCAACGCCAACGCGATGGCGATGTTAGTTTGCCAGGCCCACTTGGCTCAAGCCGAAGGAATCGAACGGTCACTATCCCTGGACAATTCTACCACTTGATATCCTCAGCAAGTTTCGCGTCACAGGATCCCCTAGACAGCACGGACCTCGCATCTCGACGATGAATGCTGCATTGGGTCCCACTGTCGGCGTCGAGGGCGTCGGAGAATCGCCCAGCCGCTGCGCGACGCTGCTCGGGCGACCGACTGCGCTCGGCAAGTCACAGCCCAAAGGCTGCCACGAGCCGCCGCGGGCGCCGCCGGTCGTCCCGCAACAGGTGGGTTCCGAGGCTGGGAGCTCGGATGAGAGGGCAGCAGTCGAAGGAGAAAAAAGGCCACAGACATGAACTTTTGGCGCTCCGCGCGGATTTCTCGGATCCGCGCTGGGCCCCCCCCCCAGCGGCGCCTCCGGCGCGGCCCCTGACGCGCTCCGCGCGCCAGCGAGAGGGGGTCCAGCGCGGATCCAAGAACTCCACGCGGAGCGCCAAATGTTTATGTTTATAATGTTCTTTTCTTCTTCTAAGCAGGCCGCGTCATCAGTGGTTCTAGCCAGTCTGGATCCTTGTGCAACAGACACGAACGGGCGCCGGAGACCACCCAGCTCGCGGTGTGTGTGAAGGCTGCCGACATGATTGCCTCTGGACAGTCTGGAGCCCCCAGCAACAGAGACGAGCCGCAGCGAGTGTCGCAGGCTACCCCGGCCGCGGCGGATCCCGAGGCCGCGACCGATGGGTTGGCAATGGAGCACGTCATGAGCGGTTTCGGCCAATCCGGAGCCCTGAGATCAAGGAGCGTTTGGTCTCCAGCCCTGTCACATATGTCATCGGTGCGATCGAACCGATCCAAGGAGCGAGCCCGTTTCCTCAAGCGTGTCGGTCGCACAGAGACCGAAGAGAGCTTGTTAGAGATGGACTGGTCCCTGGCGGTGCACGACGCGGAACTCCTGCGCGCCGTGCCAGCCTCCGCGATCATTGGTTGTGTTTCGCACACTGTCATGAGTAGCAGCCCTGGCTGCGAGGCAACGTTCGCGTTGTCCAGGCCTGTGATGCGCATGCACTATTTTGTGAGCCATTCTTGGCAGACGCCAGCGTGGTTGAAGCTTGTCTGCTTAATGTACGAGATGAACGCAGGCCGCGCAGTGGTCGCCGCACTCGCGACTCAAATCGTGATAGTTGTGTTGCAGACTGCAGGCTTGTGGGATCCCCATTTCCTGTCACAAGGGGGTTTGCACTACGTGGATGATCAACGGATCCATGTCGTACCATTCGAGGCCCACTGGTTAATATCGTGTTCCGTGTTCTTCTTGGTGTTGTGTTGGGGGCAGGTTATCCCTGTACGCGAGAGCCTTTGTTTCCTGGACAAGTGCTGCATCAACCAGACAGACTCGATCAAGAAGGCGGCGGGGATCAAGCAGCTCGGGGCATTTCTGCGTAACTCAGAGAACCTTCTTGTACTGTGAGAACCAGAGACTTTCACAAGGTTGTGGTGTGTGTACGAGCTTGCCGCGTTCTCGTACGTCAACTGCCGCAGGTGTGACCGCGTGTTGATACGACCTCTGAGGATCTCCCTCTGTGTTGTGGCCCACTGCATTTTGAATTCAACTGGTCAGCTTTTGAATGCTTACTCCTGGACATTGCTCTCCAGACAACACTCCACGTGGACTATCAGCACTCTGTCTGGGGAAGGGCAACAGGATGTGTGCAAATTCCTCGCGCTCTGCTTGTGCTATGTCACTGTGTGCTTCCTGTGCATCGCCGTGAGCTGGATGCTCCTCAAGACGCACATCAAGGATCACAAGACACTCCTGCGGCAGCTGTCCGAGTTCCGTCTGGCAGATACTAAATGTCAGGTCGTTGAGGATCGGGCCTTTGTTCTCGCGCAGATCACCGAATGGTTTGGGAGTGCAGATGAATTTGAGATATACGTGAGAGGCGCCTTGCACAGCCAGGTGGAGAGCTTATTGCAAGAACAAATAGTAAACCCGTATGGCGACATAGTCATTATTTGTCTGGGCAGTTTTTTCTTCTATACTTCTGGGTGTCTCGCAGCATTGGCTCGCGGCGATGCGGAGCTCATGTGGCGGTGGGTATTATGTTATGTGACCGATATCTGTCTGTCTAAAAGCTTGTGGATCGGGTTCAGGAGATTGGCCGAAATTACGATCGGAGAATTCTTCGGCTTGCGCCTCATCCGCTATCCCCCCCCCGTGGGAGCTTAGAATGCGCGTCCTGGCATTTCGGGCCCTCTTGATCTATGCTCTTGTCCCGTCGGGCGCAGGCGCTTCTCGAGCGCGTCGCCGCGCGCTCGCTCGCGCAGTGGCGGCCGTCCCCGATGCGATTCGGCGCACAGCGGCGGGCCCACGGCGCGCCAGCCCCCTCGCAGCTCGCAGGGCCCCCGCCCTGTCTGGCGACACGGCTGGCTCCAGTCTCCGCGCGCGGGGGTGCCAGTCGCGCCCGCCTCTCTGCAGAGCGCCTGCTCGCGCTTCGGGTCTCCCCGTCTCTCCCTCGTCTCGCGGGTCTTGATCGTTACCGCGCTTCGGGGGTGGCGAACTCCCTTTGCCGCCTCCTGGTCTGCTACCGCCGTTTTATCCTCCTCCTCCTCATCCTCCTCCTCCCTCCTCCCTCCTCCTCCTCCTCCTCCTCCTCCTCCTCCTCCTCCTTCTCCTCCTCCTCCTCTTCGGCCCCTCCCTTCTCCCCTTCCTCCTGACGATCACCGGTGTCGCTGCACAGCACACTAGCAACAAAGTGCAGGGACCCGACGCCTTTGATCAGCTACATTGTTGAAGTCAGCGTGTGCGAGAAGAGCGAGCAGTGGCAGCAGACTCTGGCCTGGCTCCGAGAGCGGGCGAGGGAGAGAAACAGCCCGGCGTGCTCAGCTACAACGCCGAAAGAGCATGCGAGAACAACGGGCAGTGGCAGCAGGCGCCGGCTAGACTCCGAGACACGTAGACGAAGCTAGAGCCTGACGTCCGTAGTAACAGCGCTGAAGCCAGCGCGTGCGAGAAGGGCGAGCAGTGGCAGCAGGCTCTGGCTGGAACGCGAGATGCTGGAGGCAGGCTGAGAGAAACGTGCGGGGGGCCACAATCAGCTACAATGCTGGGAGCAAGCCGCGCGAGAAATGGAGCGAGCAGTGGCAGCGCACGCTGGTACTGAGCAAAACGTGCGGGAGGGCGATCAGCTAAAACGTTGGTTGCAGTCCGTGCGAGAAAGGGAGCGGGCAGTGGCAGCAGATGCTGGCGCTGAGACAAACATGCGGGCATGCCACGATCAGCTACAACGCTGGCAGCAGTCCGTGCGAGAAAGGGCGAGCGCAGTGGTAGCGGACGCTGGTGCTGAGCAAAACGTGCGGGTGGGTGGGCGATCGGCTACAACGTTGGACGCAGTCCGCGCGAGAAAAGACAAGCGCAGTGGCAGTGGACGCTGGTGCTGAGCGAAACGCGCCGGTGGGCAACGATTAGCTACAACGCTGGGAGCAGTCCGTGCGAGAAAGGGCGAGCGCAGTGGCAGCGGACGCTGGTGCTGAGCGAAACGCGCGGGCTGGCCACGATCAGCTACAACGCTGGGGAAAGTCCGTGCGAGAATGGGCGAGCGCAGTGGCAGCGGACGCTGGTGCTGAGCGAAACGCGCTGGCGGGCCAAAATCAGCAACAACGCTGGGAGCAGTTCGTGAGAGAAACAGGGCGCGCAGTGGCCGTGGATGAGGGGAATGCCCCCCGCAGACCCTGGCGCTGCGAGCATACGGCTGCGAGAAGAATGGGGCGATGAGAGAGCCCGACGGTATCTAACTAACTCCGCTAGGAACAGTCGTGCACGAAAGTGCTGGGGCGCACATCACCAACTACAGTGCTGGGGCCAGCTTGCGTGCGGAAGGCTGGGGAGCAGTCGTGCGAGGCAGGGTTGCATTTCATCGGGGGCCAGTCGAAAGCCTCTTGCGAAAAACGGGGGGCGAAGCTGGAGCCCAATATCGTCGAGAGTACCACTGCCAGCCTCTTGCGACAAGCGGGGGGCGAAGCTGGAGCCTAAATTTCTGACCAAAGCCGACCTCCATCGCCCAGGGACGGCCTGGGGTGAGTGAGGTTTCGATCGTCGCGGCGGTGCGTCTCTTCCTCTTCCTCCTGCTTCTCCTCCTCTTTCTCCTCCTCCTCCTCCTTCCCCAGGCCGCCTCGTCCTCCTGCCTCGTCCTCCTCCGCCCCGTCTTTATCCGGCGCCGCTTCCGGGCTGGCTTAGAGATCCCCCCCGCGCCCTGTGTCGCCGCCTCTCTTAAGCCTCCTGGCCGCGCTGTTCTTGCCCGGCTGGTCGTCCCCAAGGTGCCAGTCCCGCAGCCCAGGTCCGCGCGGCAAGCCAGCCCACCCGTCGCCACCGTCCTCTCTTCTCGCCTCGCCCCTCCTCCGCCGACTCGTCCTCCCCCCCTCCTCCTCCTCCTCCTCCTCCTCCTCCTCCTCCTCCTCCTCCTCCTCCTCCTCCTCCTCCTCCTCCTCCTCCGCCTCTTCCTCCTCTTCCTCCTCCCCCCCCCTCCTCCTCCTCCTCCTCCTCCTCCTCCTCCCTCCTCCTCCTCCTCCTCCTCCTCCTCCCTCCTTCCTCTTCCTCCTTCCTCCTTCCTCCTTCCTCCTTCCTCCTTCCTCCTCCTCCCTCCTCCGCCACCTCCTCCTCATCCTTTTCTTCTACCTCCTTTTCCTTCTCGCCCTCCTCTTCCATTTCTGTTCGATCTGGGCGATGTTTAGTTTTATCCTCGTGGTCTCGTCGTCGTCCTCCACGTCGCCCCCTCCTTCGCCTCGTCGCCCTTGCTTGTCGTTTCCTTTCTGGCGCCTCACTCGACGGCCGCCGCCGCCGCCGCCTGCGCAGCCGTCGCCGCGGCCAGGCGGGCCGCGGTCGCCCCCGACCGTTATTGCTGCTGCTGCAGCCGCTACGGACTGGTGCAGACGGAGCATCGTTGTGGTATCTTGTCCGCCATGCTGGTGGAATCTGACTCTCCGCGCGCGTCGGCCACGCGTTTGGCCAGCACGGAGGAGGCGCGTCATGCCTCGCTGCCCCCGCCCCCGCCGTGCGTACCCACCACCATAAAAACGCAGGCGATGTCGGCGTCCCAGCAGGAGTGCGCCGTACCCTTGTGTTGCTTGTTTTGCCTTTCTTTCCTGGCGAGGGTAGCAATTGGGTCCGCGGCGGACTGCGCTTGGAGGTCCGCGCCCAAGTTTGGCGTCACCGCGAATTCTATGGCAACCGAGAGCCGCCACCAGGGCACGTAGACATCCATTGGTCGACGGCCGTCGTTGTAGCGCGTTTCGGAGCGTTTAAATTGCCGTTGATGCCGTCGTGTTGAGGCCATCGCGGGTCGTCTTGGGATTTTTTGGGATCGTTTTGCAGTCGTATTGGGGGCACATTGGAGCCGCCTTGGGGCCGTGTTGGGGATCTCTTGTGCCGTGTTGGGCCGTCTCGAGTTGGCCCGCGGCATCTCTTAGGGTGGCACGGTCCCGTCGAAAGTAATGTTTGGCCCTCTGCGTTTGACATTTGAGGCGGGTCTGTTCCGCCGTTCATGTTGCGAGGTCCGACTGCACGTGAACTCGTGCAGGCACCGTCGGGTTGTGTCGCCCAGGTGTTCTGTCCGGGCACATTTTTTGTTGCAGGCTCGAACTTTGCCAGGGCCCTTTTTTACAGTCAACGCGCACAGTAAGGACAAACTGTTTTTTTCAAGGGTACCCTTGGGTCCTTGCCTGCCTCAGCTTCTGCGGCCCGTCCCTCGCAACTTTCGCAGGCCAGTTTCTCAGGTTCCCTGGGGGTTTGGCCGCCTGCCGCCCTGAGTACTTCAACTTCGGCCTCCAAGGGTTTTGCGTCCTTACCACGCGTCCTTACTATACGTTTTCACTGTACAGCATGTTGGGCCATGTCTGGGCCGTGCAAGGGCGACCTTCGGGGCCTTTTGGAGTTTGTTGGGCGTCATCGGCCGAGCAGACGAGTTTGCGCAACAGTTGCCCGAGATGTGTCTGGACCTGTCTCCACATGCGGCGACTATGAAAGGGAGCGTTTTTCCAAAAGAACGCACTGAGAATTCTGCAACACTCGTACCAACGACCGCACCAACATTCTTGCAGTTGGAAGTATCAATGGGAGCCAGTGGGCCCATCAGACGCCGACGAACATGGGCACAGTTGTGCAGTTGGCCGCCTTCCGCAGGATGCCGCAACGACTCGTCTGGATGCGTGTGCGACGCCGCCCCGCCGGGCTCTTCGCGAGCCCACTACGATGGTGAGAGTTGTTGCGCGTGGCGGTCCGAAATCTGTTTTCGAACGCTTGGGTCACCTGCACGAAATGATCCGCGGGTCCGATGGACTTGTGGGTTGCTCGGTATTTGTTTTTTCCCAAATGTTCGTCCACACCGTCATCCCCCATCATCGCTGCCAGTCCTCCTCATCATGTTGATGACAATCTTTCCGAGGGTCCGTTGGACCACCGCTGCGACACGCCTTGCGGTGATTCGTCCACGCAAATTGATGTTTGAGTCCTTTTTGCTGTGTGTGGCGCCCCGTTTACTGACATGTGGGTACGATGCACCACTGGGCGGCAGTTTCAACGCTCGCAGGCCCCTAGAACGGCGAGGGTCTCGACCTGGCGCGCGCGTGACATCATTCCGCTGGGCCCCCCAGGAGCCCACGTCAGTGCCGACACCCCCCAGGGACGGCGAGGTTTCGTTGAGATGTGCGTAGGACGTCGCGGTGCTGGCCCCCCTGGCAGCTTCGACAGTAGCGACAGTTTCGCAGCTCGCAGCCCCCAGGGCAGCGAGGTTTCATCCTAATGTGCGCAGGACGCGCTCTGAATGGCTCCCTGGCAGCCTTCGGAAGTGGCGACAGGTTCGCATCTTGCAGCCCCCAGTGACGGCGTGATTGCATTCTGATGTGCGCACAGTTGTTCTATTCTGGCCCCCCAGCAGCGTTCGAAACAAATAACAAGTTCGCAGGGCGCAGCCCCCCAGGGAAGGCGAGGTTTCATCCTGACGTGCAAAAGACATCACGATGCTGGGCCCCCCACCAGCCCTCGAAAGAGTCGACACTTTCGCATGTCACACCCCCCAAGGGACGGCGAGGTCCCATTCTGATGTGCGTAGGACGTCACTATACAGCCCCCGAACATGGCGACAGTTTCGACGTTTCGCAGCCCCCAGTGACGGCGAGGTCTCATTCTGATGAGCAAAGCACGTCACCATGCCGGACCCCCCCGCAGCCTTTTTAATCGGCGACGGTTTCGCAGCCCGCAGCCCCAAAGACGGCGAGGTCTCATCAGCTGCCCAGGTCGCAGCCACCCAGGGAGCAGCGCACGAGGGCGCAGGAAGAAGAGGAGCAGGAGGGAGGCGGGAGAGGGGGAGGTGGGGACCACAGTGCTCTATTCAAGACGAGAACCCAACGCAAGAGGGTCGGGAACAATTCGCAATCACAATCGGACACTCGATAATCCTGGCCCTCTCGAGGGCAGTGTTGGGGAGCCGTCTGGCCACCATGAACCGTTGTGGGGGCGCGCCGAGGCCTCCGGACTCAAGTAGGAGGAGGAGGAGGAGGAGGAGGAGGAGGAGGAGGAGGCCATTAACTATGCGGGGCCATGCTGGCTGGCTTGGGGAACAAACTGGGACAGGTGACCCCCTAGCACCATTGGGAGGCACCCAAGCTGGCCAGACCGGGCTTTGGGGGGGGATGGGGTTCGATGGGCATGTATCTCACGCGCCGAGGAAACCAAAGGGGTCGGCGAATGCAACGAGGGCTGCTCGCTTTCCAAACATAAGCTCGCTGGTCTGGTGTTGCTTACACTCACGGCGTCTATCATGTGTTCTGCCCTGCTGTGTACCATTCTGTCTCCTCGTATCCCGCTTTGGTACAGTTCCATCGCCTTCGTCGTAGCAGCCATTATGGCAGCGCTACCCTTCAAGCGTGATTGGTGGCATCGGGCTTCCGCGCGTCTACTCCACTGTGCAGTCCTGAGCCAGGCTAGGACATAGCCCGAACAGACTGCCAGTTCTGATGCCACCACTGACAGAGTCAAGTGGAGCGTCTGCCGCCCGGCCTTCGCTGCCTCGGAAGCTCCGCGAGGTTCGTTGACACGCATGCCTCTTCCATGCTCGCTATTCCCTCACTCTCCCCGCCCAGCACCCCATCCCTCTGGCCTCTGATCTTATTGCATCATTCTCACCCACTCTTGCACGAGTGGCGCACCGTGCGATATTCCGCATCGCCAGGTTCCAAGATTGGGTAGGCATCGAACTTGTCATCCATGTGTGGCCACTTTGGTGGATGTGCGCATGTGAATTCGAATGAATTAGCATGTTTGAAGCAGCGCCTCCGAAGCGGTCTGGGAGAAGTGGAGTATCAAATCTTGCTCCTCCAACGATGCGACTGATCGTGATATGACCGATTTGCATACGAGCCCCAAAGTCGTCAAACCTCTTTTCCCATTGACCACTCGGGCACCATGCAAGATGGTGACTTGCAACGCGCATGGTGTCAATCCGACGCATATCTGGACACCCGTTGCTTAAGCCAGCGATGGTCCAGACATTCTGACCAAGCCAATGAGCTTGGCTGAAGGTGTTCACCCATGCAGTCGGCCACCCTATTGATCCATTGCGCGGCTGGTTTGGATTGGTTGCTTGGTGGATTGATCATTAGTTTGGCCAGTTGGTTGGTCGGCTTGCTGGCACATTTGTTGGTTCGCTGATTGGTTGGCTGGTTGGTGATCGCTGACTGATTGGATGGCTGGCTCGTTGGTTGACAGATTCCTCGCGGAGCCAGAGTTTCAACTAAAGGAGTGTGGGCTCGGGAGCGGGTCGTCGCGGTCTGTTGCAAGGGCCCGTGGCCCCGGACGCATGTTGCTTACGCGAGGGCGCGTGACCTCCAAGGACGGCCAAGATGGGGGGAACGACCAGAGGAAAGGGGGGAGATCAGAGCTGCAATGACACCACCCCAGATATCATGGCACCTCCTCTTATTTAAACATGTCCCGGCCCCCCCCCGCCCTGGGCCGTGCACATGGTTCGGGCCACTGTTGACGAACACCCCATCTTGGACACCTCCCTCTTGAACGCCCCCGAGTTCGTGGGAGTGGGGGTTCATAACTCGTTATGGGAGACCGTGGCCTCGAGAGCGCAGGTTGTCTTGTTGCCTGAATGACAATGGCTTTGGGGCACGGACCGGGTTTCTGAAGTAAGAAAGTGGTCATCCCTCCAGGGTTGCGCGGCCCACTTGCGGACCAGCTAGCTCTTCCGATAGAAGTGGCCTCGGGAGCGTGGAGCCTTTTGCTTTCTACAATTTCTACCCGAGGTCACGGCTTCGGGAGCGCGCATCGTCGCGGCCCTGGAGTGTGTGATCCATTGTTTTAGTGGGGATTCTGCTTTTGGGAGCGCGGACACATTTTTTTAGCGCCAGGGGTCGTGGCATCATTGACGCTGGTTCGTTGTCCTCTACGGGGGGGCCTGCAGAAGAGCAGACGACCTGCTTTCTTAAAAGGATCGTGGCCCGGGGGAGCGAACCCATTTGTTGTCAGTGATTGTGGCTCTTGGAGCTCGGAGAGCGGACTCGGATTTTTTGTTACGTGAGATCGTGGCCCTGTGAGAGGGGATGCACTTGTTGTCTCACGGATCGCTGCCTCGGGGGCAGAGATTTTCGTGTGTTTGGGACACGAGGTTATTCCATCGCGTGCGCGGACCCGTCACGTTGTCCAAAGTGGCTTCGGAAGTGGTCACCCCTTTGTTTGCGACATGGGCTCCTGGCCTGTGGAGCGCGGACTTAGGTTATCTCCAAGAGAATTGGAAGGGTTCGATGTGTACATCACGTCGGGAGCTCGGCCAAGAAGCCGAAGAACTCGGGGACCGAATTCCGTGTGCACACGCCCCAGTGCCCCACGGGTTGGGAGGCTGGGGCGTCCATACACCGAGCTTCTTGGCCGACCGGGCGACTTGGTGTGCACGTCGGGCCCCTCCCAGAGGAATGGCCTCGGGAACGCGCATCCCACATTATTGTTACAGGGCTCGACCTGAATGGTGGTTTGGCCATTTCGTGGACCGTTTCCAATTCGAGTTCGTTTTGCAGCAAAGGTGGATTGAAGACAGAATGAGGAAGAACGACAATAAAACAAAAACGAAAAACAGTGTTCAGGCCGACTTTTGTTTTTTGGGCAGGGGGCGTGGCCATGCGGACTCGGGCTTCTCTTGTTTCCAGGGATCGCATCGTGCCGTCGGGAGCATGTGCCCACGGTTGCTGTGCTGGGCATCGAGACCTCAGGGGCGCGGGCCCGCTGTTTTTGCGAGGCCTCGTGGCCTCAGTGGCGCGGCCCCATTGTAACCGTACAAATGATCGTGGCCTGGGGGGGCAGTGTTCGCGTGCTTGCGTCGGGCGAGGCGGAGGCATAGGCCTCCGTCGCTCGATGGGCGCGCGTCGGGCGGGGCGGAGGCACAAGCGTCCGTCGCTCGACGTGTGTCAAGAGCACTTTGACACATCGGCCCATCGGCCCAGCCGAGGGAAAAACAAGGCCGGGGGCCTAGAGGCAAGGAAGGCGGGGAAGAGGTTTTAGCGAAAGTTGATTAATTTATTCCCCTGCTGTCACTGCGCCGCCGCCGCCGTCTTCTTGATGCCGTACAATATTACACCGCAGCCGCGGATCAGGGTCAAGGTACTCGGCCGGCACCGCGTGCCACCCCAGCATTTGAGAAAGGGGGCGCGCTTGGTGTCGTCGACGTGTCGTCGTCCTCCCGTGCTCACACATCCTATAGACCGCAGCTTATCGTACAAAAGGATCGTGGCCTTGGGAGGGTGCGGATCCATGCATTTGTTGTTATTAGGGCGCCGTGGCCCCAGGGCGATCTTTTGGAGCTCTTGGGCCGTATCGGGCCGTCGGAAGGCCGAAACGAAGCAAGTGTCAAAATCCTTCGAAAACCTAAGGAAAGTCACTCCTTTTGGCCTTCTTCTGGCCTTCCTGGAGGCCCTCTTGGAGGCCTCTTGGGTAGTCTTAGGCTCCTGGCCCGGCTGACGCCGTCGGAAGCCGTTTCGGGGGCCTTTCTGGGCCGACTTGGGGCTCTCTTGGGGTGCTCCAGGGCCGTCTTAGAGGCCATCTTGGGCGTCTTCGAGGCCTCTTGGGCCGTCTTGGCGCCCTCTTGGGGCCGTCGTGGGGGCCTCTTGGGCAGTCTTGGGGCCATCTTGGAGGCCTCTTGGACGATCCTTGGGCGACCTTGGCGGCCTCTGGGGCCGTCACGGGCCGTCGGAAGGCCGAAAATGCGCAAATGCCAAAATCTTTCAAAATCCTAAGGAAAATCAATGTTGTTGGCCTCGTCGGGCCTTCCTGGAGGAACTCTTGGAGGCCTCTTGGGCCGTCTTGGAGGCCTCTTGCGGGCCTTTCGGGCAGTCTTAGACCAGATTGTGGCCATTTTGGGCCGTCTTGGATGCATCTTGGGGCCATCTTAAGCCGTCTTGGAGGACATCTTGGCTGTCTTGGAGGCATTGGAGGCATCTTGCAGGCCATCTTGGGCCATCTTCGCGATTTTGTGAGGATGCTCCGAGCGAAACGGCCGTTTTTGGCGATGGCAACCACCTCTTCCGGGTGGCCGGCGGGACGGGCCGAAGCCCCAGGGGGGGGTTTTGGGGAAAAGAACCAAAACCAAAACCGTAAGAAGTTCAGCACGCCAGGCACCCCTGCGATGAATCGACAAGGGGCGGCGGATCCTGGTGGCCTTCGGTCCATCCAGCCACCGTATTTGGGTTGTGGGGAGCCTCTCGGGAGCCTCTCGGGAGCCTCTTAGAGGCTGTTTGGGAGCCTCTCGGGAGCCTCTCAGGAGCCGTGGGGAGGCCTCTTGTGTGTGTGTGTGTTGGGGTGTCGTGGGGAGCCTCTCGGGAGCCTCTTAGAGGCTGTTTGGGCGCCTCTCGGGGGCCTGTCGGGGCCTCGTGGGCGGGCCGTCTTCGAATCATCTTCGGGCGCCGAGGAGCACTCGTGGCCCCGGCAGTGCGCATACGGAGTCATCTGCGAGGGCTTATGGCCTCGGGGGCACGAACATTGCGTAATGTACAAAGGTTTGTTGCCTCGGGGGCGCAAGCAGTGTGTAATTTGCGAGGGTGTATGGCCTCGGGGGCGCGAACATTGCGCAACCCCAAGAAGTTATGGCTTCGGGAACGCGAGAATTGTGTAATCCACGAGGGCTTGTTGCCTCGAGGACGCAAGGAGTTAGTATGTTACTCAGGTGTGTGGCCTCGGGGGCGCGAGCATTGCGTAACCTACTAGGGAGGATGGCCTCGGGCGAGGCGCGAGTCTCACGTATTTTTGATGTGCCCACACACACACACCCTGGGAATTCAGGCAACGCGATCCGGGCGTGGTGAATTGCTGGTCTGGGACTCCCCCCCCTCGCGCGGACGCCAACAGTTTACAGTAGGAAGCAGAACGCAGGACTGTCACCCTGGAGACTCGAAGCCGCAACTGGGGCAGGAAGCAGCAGCTTCGGTCTACAGCCGGGTGGCCCCACAAGGGGGCTGGCGGTTTGCTCCTTTCTGTTGCTCTTGTTGCTTGAAGCTATGGTGTTTGTGCTCCCTGCTGCTGCTGCTGCTCTTGTTGCGCCTCGTGCTTGGTATCCTGCTGCTCCTCGGCATGCTTTTCGTGTTCCTATGTGTGCTGTTCCTCCTTCTGGTCTTCTTGCTCCTTCAGCTGTTCCTACTGCTGCTCATCCTTCGCTCTTGCGGATCCTCGTACTGCTACTCACATTGCTGGCCCTCCTCCTGCTCCTATGGTGCCCCTCTGCTGCTCCCGTGCTCTTCCTGCTCCTCCTCCTCCTCCTCCTCCTCCTCCTCCTCCTCCTCCTCCTTCTCCTCCTCCTCCTCCTCCTCCTCCTCCTCCTCCTCCTCTCCTTCTCCCCATCCTCCTCCTCCCCCTCCTCCTCCCCCTCCTCCTCCCCCCCTCCCCCCCCCTCCTCCTCCATGCTCCATGCTCCTCCTGCTGCTCCTCCTCCTGCCGTTCCTCCTCCCGTGCTCCTGCTGCTCCTCCTGCTGCTCCGGTGCCCCCCTCCCCAAATCGCCGCCGCTGCCTTTGCCCTCCTCTCCCCGCCTTCTGGGTGGGCGGCCAGCAGGGGGGTGGTGACCAGGAAGGGGTGGATATCATGGCCAGGGCTTATGCCGTAGACGCGCTAACGGTGTGTCAGGCAACGGCGACGTAGGAAAACCAATAGTAGCAAGGCGTGGTTCGTGGCCAAACCAATTGTAGGAACGCGTGGCTCGTGTTTTCCTACAACTCGCTGTGTCGTTTTCGTCCGATACTTCCGCATATCTGGCATGTAGGAAGCCGTGTTTCGTGATGTCCTACATGTTGTTTTGCGTGAGTTCGGTGTCACAAAAACAAGATTCCCAACCGCGCCGATAACCAAACACGCCGGCAGCGCGGCCTTGGTTATAGTGTTTCAATTTACATTAGCCTTGGTCACCAGAACGAATTTCGAGCACCAAGAAAGTACCGAAACTGGAGGGAGTTCAAGCGTCGTGCCCTGGAAGGCGATACTCGTTCGACACTGCTTCGATACTTTTCGGGGTGCTCGGAATTGTTTCTGGGATGTGGCCCTTAAGTACAGTCGGGGCGCTGACGAAGGAACCCTTTGCGTTGGGGAGGGGCTCCGTGTTCCTTAACTGTTTCACAGTTTGCCTTCGGTTGTCCTTCGGTCTTCGATGGGGAATCGGAGTTTAGATGGAAAGGGGGGTTTGTTCCTTATTTAGGGCTCCTTATGTCAACGCCTCGACTGCACGACGGGAGCAGCACACGCCAGGGCCATGAGATCTCCCCCGATTTCGGGGCGCCGTTCCTTGCTGTGCGGCGTCCCCCTGGCCCCCCGCGTGCCGCCCACATCCCTCTCGGACCACGGCGTGCGACCCCCGCGTTGACGCCCCCCTCTTTGGACGCCCCCGGCCCTTGAACTTCCTCCCAGGTGCTCAGGAGGGAAGGAAACACACAGACACAATTCATCGTCGACTCCACAGAAAATATGGGAAGACAGAAGCCCAGAAGATATGGGAAAATATGGGGAATAGTTTCATGTGTGTGTATTTATTTGTGTGTCCTGGGGCCCCTTCAAGGTAGTCAGCACGTGTTTACCCTCAGGGAGTACTGGGAGTTTGCCTCGTGCCGATTGGCGGCGACCCCAGCACGGGCCTTGAGAGTTACGCGCCGCCCGTGGCCCGGAATGGGCCCATCGTCAAACGATCCCGGCGTTTCCGAAACGGCCGATCGTTCGAGCTTGAACGACCCCCGCGGTGTCAGAAGCCAGCGCCAGGGCCAGCACGACACGAACTTGCCGTAAAAAACAGTCTCATCATGTTGGGCCCCGTGCCCATAAGCTCATACGGTTCCCGAGCTCTCTCACGGCCTGCATTCTGCTTTCGGAATCCTGCTTCGCGCTCGCACGTTCTCTTGCCTCGCGCTCCTGCTTTGCTGGGCGGGGAAGCCGACACTGTGCCACGACAGGTCCCGGATCGTTTTGCATAGACAGGCAGCCCAGTATTGTGAACGACTACACTGGAGTTTACACTGTGCATGACGTAGTTTAGATTGTGTTGTTTCGGTTGCGCGTGATTTGCTTAAGTTGAGGCGCGCTCAGCTGGAAAAAGTGAAGCGGCAAGTATGTGTTCGTTTCTTCGTTCTCCGTGATTTGCAATCCTTCACCGTTTCTCTCTGACCCACCCTTCTGCGCCCTCCTTCGTGTTGAATCCGCAGCGCCGCTCGTCTCCTCTCCTCCTCCCCCTTCCTCTTCCGCCTCATCATCATTATCATCGTCGTCGTCAGCATCATCGCCTTCATACTTGTTACCGCCATCATCATCCACATCACCGTTTCGCCGCACCTCTCACACGTTTCGCTGCTCTAGAGGGCTTCACCGAAGGGTTCCGTGGGAGGTTCCATTTTGACACACCCCTCACACGCTTGGCACGCCAAAGGGAGCTCCCCCGAAGGCTTCTGTGGCAGGGTCTGGAGCTCCACAGAAGGCTCCACTTGCATGGTCCGCATGGTGACTCGGGTCCATTGCGGCAGACCCCATCACACGTCTCGTGGCGCCATACGGAGCTTCATTGAAAGCCCCGCCGGCAGGGTCCGCATGCGGACTCGGGTAAACATGGGCACAACCTTCACACGTTCCGCTGCCCCGAAGAGACCCACCGAGGCCTTTGCGGCAGGGTCCGCATGGTGACTCGGCTCCATTCTGGCACACCGCTCACACGTTTCGGGGCCCCACAGGGAGTTCCATGGGTTTGCAGAAAGTCGGCCAGGGCCCCCAGCGCGAAGTCTAGTTTCGAGGAGTTGCTGCGCTGCCAAGCCTGAGCCAGCCAGGTAATCGTTGTTCCGTGGACTCGGCGGGAATTTCAGTTGGGGGTAAATCAATTCTGTAGTCGATCCCCTACTCGAAGGCGGCGGACGAGGGGAGGGGCATGGGGGAGGGGGCGGAGGAGACGGGGGGGGGAGGAAAAGGAGGAGGAGCCAAGCTATTATTTCTTATGTAAGAAGGAGGCTTGTCCAAGGAGGGTTGTCCGGGCCCCCGCTGGGCCTTCAAAGGGGTTGTCCGGGTTGTCGCCAGGAGGAGGAGAGAATGAGGTGGAGGGGGGAGAGGGGGAAGGTTAGATGCAGATTACGCCTCAGATAATGCAGATCGAAGGGCAGGTTGCGGCGGGTGTGGGTAGCAGGGAGCACGCGCGAATTGGCCGCATCTGGGACGCGAACTGTTCACACGTCGGTCGTCAAGTACTTGAAGTGGGATCGACGATGTTTACGGTATTGCGTTTCTGGGGGCCTTGGGGGCCTTCGTGACCAAGCTTGGACGCAGCTCGAAAAATTGGTCCGGATGGTCCCAGGGAGGGGTCCGTGAATCAATGTTTAACAGAGTTGGGGCGAAGTGTGTTATTCGTCGGTCTTTGTTTTTAAAAAGTGCAGCTCAATGTTTCACTAGGCGAAAATCCGCATGTGTTCTCTCACGATTGAGATCGAGCCGAGTTCCGTCATGTTTTAAGCGGCTCACTTCACGTTTATTCCTACATGTTCTTATAAGCCGATAAAACTCAATCCGGCATCAGCCAATTTCTGGCTCAAATGTTTGCATGTTTGTTTTTGGCTAGCTGGAAGTCCACACCATTAGTTTTCTGGTCGGGCTTCTTATAGTTGCTCAACATGCTGATGCAGCAATTGAATGAGTGTTGTTGCTTGTGTGAGGCCGCTGTCGAACTCTGTATGGTGGTCACGGTCGTTGGAAGGTGTTGTGTTAGTTTGGGAGGGTTCCTTAAGCATGACGATTCTTGGACGTGGTTGTTGTTTGCGGCGCTCACTGTGACGAATGTAACCAGGAGCAGCACGTTCGTTATGGCACCACGCATCTGCATGCGGCTCGGGATGCCAGTGGGAATGTGTCGGCCGATGGTCGCCGTCATTTTGCTCATCCCCTCCTTTGCCGTTGTCTCTGGTCATGTGTCCATCATTCTAAGCTGGCGGAGCGAGGAGTATGGCCTCACCGCAGCAGAGACATTGGTTCGCTTGTTCCTTCCAGTCATCAACGTGCTATCCACCAGCGTTTGGTTTGTGTACGTGCTCACCCCTCCCGTCAAGAAGGGCGGGAGTCCTCCGAAGCCACAGGTGGCGTCGTTCGTTCTTCGCGACGCCGATTCGAAATACAGGGGCTCTACGTGCGCCATCTGTTTGGAGGAACTCTTACCCCAATGCCTGGCAGGAAAGCTTATGTGTGGCCATGTCTACCATTATCACTGTTTGCGTAACTGGCTTGACAAGGGGCATCAGGGTCGATGCCCGATGCGCTGCTCAAGTGCTGCGAGGCCTGATCTGGGCGGGCGCATGCTCGGGAGCGAACAGCCTGTGCTTGGCAGAGGGCTGGGCATCGAGATCTGAGAACTCGGGGCATCACGCACGTCCGAGGCAGCGCTGGGACTGCTCGAGGCACTTCTCCACGCTGCACATCTGTCGGTCTGCGCACCGTTGGCCGAGTGCGGCACAGGCACACCACACAGCGACAGGGCGTGCTGGTCGCATGCCGCTGTTGCGTGTGTGTGGTGCGCGTTCCCGGCGAGACGCTTTCGAGCCGCCCCGTGGCGGTCAGCGCGTTCGTGTTGTGCACAGCTCGCAGCACGCTCTCAGACTACGCTCGCAGTTGTGCACGCAGTTGTGCTCAGTCGTTGCGCACAGTTTGTGCACGTTCGTTTTGTGCACGCAGTTGTGCACAGTTCGCAGCACAGTTCGCAGCACGCGTACGTAAGCTGTGACGTTCTGTGAAGATGACACACCAGCCAACAGCGCTTTGGCTCAGCATCTGGTGGGGTTTTCTGCCACAGAGCGACCGATGACGGCGTGGTACCTCATTTTTTTCCTGGACCACACCAGCTCGCCGTGAGAGTCAACCTCAAGCACCCGATGGTGGTTACATAACGAATGCTTGAAACAGCGCAGGCTGCACGTAGGAGGTGGCAAGCTCATAAACAGAGAATTTGGCGCGTTGCAGACCAGGCACAGCGCCAGCGGAACCAGGCGACCCGAGCTGGTTGCCTGACAAAAACCATATTCACGGTGCTGCGGCCTCCAATGTATTTGTTGCAGCAGCTGGCAAATTTGCGCTCTCCAGCCGATCGATTTGGTAAGCGGCGGCGTGCAGAAGAGAATTTCGAGTTGTAGGCCTGTGGTCCGTTGTGTAGCTCTGGTTTGTCGGCATGCGGTCTGCGGCGCGCCTCTGCCAGTTACCAACATGGGTCGGAGGGCACCAACTATACACCAACACCGATCCTGGCCCAGGATCACCCTGGGCCCATGATCGGTGTATATGCCTTCTTGCCCAAGGCATCAGGGCGTATACACCGATCCTGGGCCCAGGGTGATCCTGGCCAGGATCGGTGTTGGTGTATAGTTGGTGCCTTCCTAATGGGGCGCGGCCCGGGTTCTTCGTCGTCCGATGGCGCATAGAGTCACAATGTTTGCGTTGCGGCCCCACGTTTACTCGCTCGCACGCTCCGCCTCGCTTGCGTCGTGGAACGCCAGAAGAGGCAACGATGCCGAGAACGGCTGCTCGTCCTGGAGAATCCTCGTTTCCACGGCCGGATCCTCTTCGAAAGCTTGGTCAGAATGCGTCCCAGGAGAGGTCCAGAGAGTAGCGGCGATACTGGTATTCCTCTGTCTCCCCAAGACGACCCCAAAGGATTCCGAGAGAGCCCCAGATCCCAGGCATTCTTCCCCCCATCGGGTCCCGGCCCACTTCGCGCGGATTGCGCTCCCCGGGCCAATCCTTTGTGAGGTCCGCCGCCATTCCCCCTACAAGAGACAGCGCTCCCGACAGCGCCCGGCCGTCGTTCAACGTGAGCCCCGGTGGTTTCGGGGTCGGCCAAGAGGGATGTGATGACTAGGAGGGCTGGATATCATGGCGGGGGCCATGATATGTCCTCAGATTCCATAGCGCCTCTTCTCACTTCAACACGTCCCAGGCCCCCCCTGTGCCGCGCACATGCCGCCGGCTATGATTTGCGCCCCCCCATTTGGACGCCCCCTCTTGGACACCTTCCAGTTGCAGCTGGCTTTGGCCCAAGGTGACCCCAGCTTTTCCAGGGGGAGCCCCAGGTGTCCCCGAGATCACCCTTCAAGAGGCCTAGGCAGACGTCCCCAGGGGCTCCACAATGATCCGAAAGCACGAGGCATCTTGGGCCAGCATCACTTCCAACACCCCAAAGACGAGAGTCCCAAAACCACGCCAGCCGCTTACTCTCGCAAACTGCGATGTCCTGAACGTGCCCCAGCCAACACCATTAGCAAAACCAAAACCCTGGCCTCGAAAGTGCATCCGCTTTCGCGGATAGTTCTTGACTCGCGCAGACCCAGCAGCCCGCAATATATTTTAATAAGCGAAACGAAGACACACGATGGATGAGAAGCAAATGCGTTAGTCAGCATGGACCCCAAACGGTGTGTCAGTGTACTCTTGGTGCGCAGTCTATGTGGCACAACAGGTGGTGCAATAGCATCCGAAGAGTGACTTAGGGGCTCTAGTTCTCGGCCTTGAACCATGAGACGGGCGCATTGGGTGAGTGCGCCTGGCGTCCAGCACTAGTAGTGTTGCAGTTGCTACTTGTGGTAATCCCATTACTGTTGCGACTTCTACTTCGACCGATGCTATTTGTACGACTACGAGCCCTACGATGATCATTGACCACTGCGTCACTACGATCCTCATCCTGCGTACGACCACCTCTACCATGAATTACGATTGAGAGCAGTACCACGACGAAAACTACGACTACTACTGCTGTTGTTGTTGTTGCAACGACGACCACTTCTTTCACGAGCAAGAGTAATACTACGACTACTACGACTACTACTGCTACGACTTCTACTACTACTACTACTACTACTACTACTACTTCTACTACTTCTTCTTCTTCTACTACTACTAATAATACGACTACTATTACTACTACTACTACTACTACTACTACTACTACTACTACTACTACTACTACTACTACCACTACTATTATTAGTACTACTACTACTACTACTACTACTACTACTACTACAACTACAACTACTACTACTACTACTACTACTACTACTACTACTCCTACTCCTACTACTACTACTACTACTACTACTACTACTACTACTACTACTACTACACTACTACTACTACTACTACTACTACTACTACTACTACTACTACTACTACTACTACTACTACTACTACTACTACTACTACTACTACTACTACTACTACTACTACTACTACTACTACTACGACGACGACGACTACTACTACTACTACTCTGACTACGACTATCACGAATATTACAACTACTATTATTATTACTACTGCTACTACTACTACTACTACTGCTACTACTACTACGACTACTACTACTACTACTACTACTACTACTACTACTACTACGACTACGACTACGACTACGACTACTACGACTACGACTACCATTACTACTACTACTACTACTACTACTACTACTACTACTACTACTACGACTACTACTACTACTACTACTACTACTACTACTACTACTACTACTGTTACTACTGCTACTACTACTATTACTGCCTCTACGACGACGACGACTACAACTATTATGCATTTTACTGTTATTACGTTTGCGATTAGTATGAATGTCATTGGTACTAGTACGACTACTACGACTACTACTACGTCTACTACTACTACTACTACTACTGCTACTACTATTGCTACCACTACTACTACTACGACTACTACAACTAGGTGCACTCCAACTGCTACTACCACTACTACTACTACGACGACGACTACGGCTACGACTATTACGACCCATGTTACGATTACGAATACTAAGACTACATTGTAGTACGACCCTTACTACTACTACGACCACGACTACGACTACGACTACTACTACTACTACTACTACTACTACCATTACTACGGCTGCTACTACTATTACGACCACAACTACTACTAGCTTTACACCTGCGACTACTCCTACTACTACTACTCCTAGTACTACGACGACGACTGCTACGACTACTAGTACGATTCCTACTACTACCTCTACTACTTGTACTACGACTACTACTACTACTACGACTACTACTACTACTACTACTACTACTACTACTACGACTACGACTACTTCTACTACTACTACTACTACTACTACTACTACTACTACTACTACTACTACTACTACTACTACTACTACTACTACTACTACTACTACTACTACTACTACTACTACTACTACTACTACTACTACTACTACTACTACTACTACTACTACTACTACTACTACTACTACTACTACTACTACTACTACTACTACTACTACTACTACTACTACTACTACTACTTACTACTACTACTACTACTACTACTACTACTACTACTACTACTACTACTACTACTACTACTACTACTACTACTACTACTACTACTACTACTACTACTACTACTACTACTACTACTACTACTACTACTACTACTACTACTACTACTTTTACTATTATGATTACTTCTGCCACGACTACGGCGAGTACTACTACTACGACTACTCATACTAGTACGACTACGTCTAATACAATTACTACTACGATCAGGGCTACGACTAGTACTACTCTCACCTCGACTATGACGATTGCGAATACGATTGATTTTGTTATACGATTGTCCAATGGTCTTCTTCCGCCTAAAGAGGCGTAAAGGGTGTAAAGGTGCGCTTTCAGGTCTTGGAACGCGCGCGCACAAACAACAAACCATGAATGTTGCATTTTATTGCGGGAGGAGCATAACATGAAATGTGTGCGCCTCCGAATTATTTAATCGCTTCGCTCATCCCGCCGGCCCTGGAGCGTTATTTGGGGCCTCTTGGGGCCGTCTTTGGGGCCTCCTGGGGGCTTCTTGGGAGCGTCTTGGGGCTCCTTGGCGGCGTCTTGGGGGGGGTGGGGCCTCCCTCTCAGGGGGGCTCTTGGGGGCCCTTTGGGGCGGGAGGGGGGTAGTCGATTGCAGCCACCCCCTCGGGGGCCACGATCCTCGTGAGGGGTGGCGAAAAATAGCCTCCCCCTGGGGATCGCCCGGGACCCGGCCAGGACCCGGCCAGGGGTCAGCCGGGGCACTTTTCACCCAGGGGCCCCCAGGGGCCGCCCTGCGCGCGCGAACTAGAAATATTGTTAAGTAGTTACCGGAGATCTTAGCACGCCTCTGGCCCGTTGGGCCGGCGAATTCAGGGAACATTGTTTCGCGCTGGAATTTCCGACGGGATTGTGTGCGAATTGAATTTTCTATTGATCCCCTGAGAATAGTGAAGCGTCTCGAGCTCCCACAAAAAAATATATTTGCAATGGAACTTGAAAGGTAGCCAACCATTGTTTTGCAT